ACCCGTCCTCATCACTGTGCTCCTGCCCTTCCCTTAAATCTTCATACACATTTTACTAGTTATCTCTTTCTACAATGGTTTTGTACGGTATTTGTACTTATGGGACTGAATTAGTTCACTCAATATAATGCTCTCTAGTCCCTCTATTTAGGGAGTGGTTTACAAAATCATTGCTCCCATGCGCTGCGTAGTATTTCATTGTGTAAATACACCGTAATTTCTCAATCCATTCAATTTTGGTTAGACATTTGGGCTGTTTACAAGTTCTTGCTATGGTGAATAACACTGCTATGAACATTGGTGTATAAGTCTCCATTTGTGCCTCAGTTCTTATTTTTTCTGGGTATATTCCAAACAGTGAAATAGTTGGGTCACATGGAATTTCTATGTTCAGCTTTCTGAGAAAACGTCAACCTGTTTTCCAGAATAGTTGTAACATTTTACAATCCCACCAATAGTGTGTAAGAGTTCCTAATTCCAGTTTATTTTTAATAACCACCAATAAGCTAGATATTACTTGCATATGATGTTAATGATACAGTTTGATAATTTCCACACTCTGCTGGATCATCTGTTATTAGAACGGGAACAAATACAGATGTTTTCCAGTGAGTAGACCAAGTTGTTTGATCAATCTCGGATGGCAAAAGTTGGTAGAAATCGATTTCCTCTTCTTTGGCTCTGGTTGTTGAGCATATATTCGAATCATAGTGGTATTCACTGAACTTCCTTGTATGCATATGGGTATTATCCTGTCACTCATAATATTGTATTTCAAGATGCATCTAGAAATGACTTTTTAACTATGAAAGCAATCCCATTTTTCCTCACTTTTTCACCTCCAGCATAGTAGATCATATGACTGTCTGACTTAAAATGCCCCATGCCAGTCCATCTTATTTTGCCAATACTTAATATGCCAATCTTTAAGTGTTTGATTTCTCCCTTAACAATATCAAATTTTTTTACATTAGTGGCTCACACATTTCATGTTCCAACCACTAGTGTCTGCTTACAACTGTTCCTCTTCCTTTGTATGTCCATACTTGAAAACTCCACTTCTGTTGCCATATTACAATGTAAAGTCTTCTGTTAGTGACCTCTCCAAAGTACTGAAGAGTAACAATGTCATTCTGGAGACTAAGGTGCCCTTGACACAGGCCATGGTCTTTGCAATCACTTGCTATGCATCAGAAAGCTGGATAATGACTAGGAATGATAGAAGAAAAATTGATGCCTTTGAGCTGTGGTGTTGGAGAAGAGTAATATATCATGGCCTGCTAAGATAATGAACAGGTTTGTCTTGGAGAGGCTAAAAACAAAGCTTCTCCTTGGAGGCATGGATTCTAAAGCTTTATCTGACGTACCTTGGATATGTTGCAAGGATGGACCAGTCCTTGGAGAGGGATGTTGTGCTTGAGAAGATGGAGGGAAGACCCTCTATGAGGTGGATTGATTTGGTGACTGGGGAAATGAGGGTAGGTAGGTGTGTCAAAGACAGTGAGATTGGCACAGGACAGAGTAGAGTTTAGGGCTGTAGTCCATAGAGTTGTTATGAGTCACAGGAGACTCAATTGCACATAACAGCACTAACAGTTGGAGTTGTGCTCTTCAAAATTACTTGTCCTATGTTGTTTTGTTGCTAGGTGCTGTTAAGTCGAGTACAAGTCATAGTGACCCTACGAACAAAAGATCTGAATCCTGTTCTACTCTGTGCCATCCTGACACCTCCTGACACACTAGAGTCCATTATGACAGTCATTGTGTCAATTCACCTGGTCGAGGATCTTCCTCTCCTTCTCTAACCCTCCATCCTTCCCAGCATCATGTCCCTCTCCAAGGAATAGCCCCACCTAGCAACATGCCTAAAGTATGTGAGGCAAAGCCTCATCATTCTTGCCTCCAAAGAGCACTCTGACTGCACCCTCTCCAAGACATATTTGTTTGCTTTTTTGGTTGTCCATAGGATGTTTAGTGCTCTTCTCCAACACCATAGCTCAAAGACATCAATTATTCTGTCATCCATGTCCAGTTCTAAGATATATAGCAAGTAATTGGAAAGACTATGGCCTGATGGCTGAATTAAAGGCATTGGTAAAACACAAGGCCCCAGGAATCGATGTGATACTAATTGACTTGTTTCAACTAACAGATGTAGCCTTAGATGCACTTACCAGTCAATGCCAGGAAATTTGGAGGACAGCTGTCTGGCCAACCTATTAGAAGAGGTCCATATTTGTTCCCATACCTTGACCTATAATAGTCAGCATATCTAGTGTTGCATATATTTATTGAAACATGTCAATTTCTTTTTCGTCAGTTCTTGGTTCTTTAATTTCTGCCAATGTCTTCAGTGCCAATTGGAATTTTTTCATTGGTTCCTTTGGGTTATCTTTCTTATGCTACTTCCTGAAATGGTTTGGTGACATGTTATTTCAAAATATATTTCCCAACTTTAGATTTCTTCTTAACTCTTTTGAAAAAGGATTTAATTTTGGAAGAACTCAGTCATCTATGGTTTTGGGAGGTTTTTTGTAATCCAATTGCATAATAGATTGGTTTTTTCTTGCTATTGTTAGCTGCTGCCAAGTTTCACACAACTCATAAATATTCTATGGATATCAAGTCTGAATCCTGTCCTATTTTGTTCCATCCTGATAATTTCTTACACACCTGAGCTCACTGCTGCAGTCACTGTGTCAATTAATCTAATTGATGGTCTTCTTGTCTTTCACTGACGCTCACCCTTTCTAAACCCACTAGCCCTCATCAAGGGATGCCCAAGATATGTTGTATAAAACTATGATGCTTTATTTCCAAGGAGCATTCTGGCTATATTTTCTCCAAGACATATTTGTTCTTTTGGCAGTCTATAATATATCCAGTATTCTTCTCCAGCAACACAAATCAAAGGCATCAATTCTTTACTATCCTTATTATTTGTCTAGCTCTCATAAGAAGTGATTGAAAAGACCGTGGATCAGATGAGGCTTACTTTAGTCTTGAAACTGGCATCATTATTTCTTAGTAGTTTGGAGCATTCACTGATGTCAGACTCTCCCAATGTAAAATGTCTCCTGATCTCTTGACGGCTGATACCAAGGTTGATTGTGGATCCAAGTAAGATGACATTGTTGACAATTTCAAACTTTTTTTCTGTCATGTTGCTGTTTATTGGTCTAGTAGTGAAGTTTTTTTTCTTCTTGATGTTGAGAAGCAATCTATATAGAGGGCTGTAGTCTCACTTTCAACAAGCAAGTTTGTGCGATCTGCATAATGCAGGTTGTTAATAAAGTCTTCTTCTGATTCTGATGCTACATTCTTCCTCAATGAAGCCAGCTTCTTAAAGGATTTGCTAAGCATATACATTGAATAAATTTGTCTAGACTTTTCTTGACGATTTTTAGAATTTTAGTTTTTACAGTTTGGTACTTGATCTATCTGGATTTAGTGTTTGTGATGTGAGGTACAGATTTTCTGTCAATTTTGTGTAAATAGATATACAGATACATACAGAGTTTTTGTAAAATAATTTATTATCATAGTAAACCATAATAATCTTCACTATCTATAATAAGACAATTTGGTATCATTTGCCACATGATGAAAGTACATGCATTCTTTAAAATATTTCAGCAAAAGAATTTTTAAAAATATTTTTATACCAAGTCAATTAGAAAAAAGAAAATGTAATGGTGAATAAGAGGAGATATAGCAGCATAAAAATAGAAAACAGCATTTCTTTTAAGAAATTGTAATGACTTGTTTTTTTAAAGCAAGATGTAATATTTAATGTCATTTTCACAAAAATATGTGCATTTTAGGCATCTGAGTTGACAGTTGTGATGCAGATGAAAAATTATGAACTTTAAAAAGACAAGTGTGACACTTTTAGTTAAAGTTGAAATAATTGTTAAAGAGGGGAGGTAAACAATACTTCTAACTTATGAATAAATATTTGTAAGCTAAGGTAGTTTTAAGAGAAGGAAAATGGGAAAAAAGTATAAATGAGGTTGAATGTGAAGGAGTAACTTTGGATGCATGACTGCTGGATAACACTGTTCTCTCATCATTTAGTTAAAATGCCAACTTGTCACACCCAAGCTTCTAACTCTGTGAAACACTTTCCAGTGTCAACTCAATGAGTGGATTCTGGTTGATGTTAATGGAATTTTTATCAATTCCTCCAGTCATGTCTCCTTAAGACAATGCCCTTCAGTAGCACTTCCCTTTACAATATCACTCCAGATTCCTCTCCATGATCTGTGATCCTAACATTTAAACTGCATCTTTTCACACTGACCCAAAGTATTATTTTTCTCAATGTTTTTTTTAATATCTGTTTATAAATTTAAGTAGTTATGATTGCACATCTTTCCAGAGAATTTTATCAAAATTAACAGAACAGAGTCCTAGAAATGACTGATAGCACATCTTGTCCATTAATGAAAGAGTGAGGAGTTCAGATTTTATGAATTGCATATGGAATTAAAAAAAGAAAATAAAACAAACCGTCACAACCAAATACACTGCCAATGTATTGACTCTGACTTATGGCAACCATTCATCAGCTTTCTGAGGCTGGAAATCTTTACAGGAGGAGAATGCTTATCTTTCTATTGCAAATTAAATGTAGCAGTTGGTGGATTTCAAACACTAGTTAGTGGCACAATATGTAACATACTATTACTCTCCTTGTGGAGCCAAAAAGGTCTTGTTTTACACACACACACACACACACACACACACACACACACACACACACGTACTCACACACTTGAGTTGATAAAAAAAAATGATCTTACGTAAGGAAATGAAAAAATAAAAGGAGAATTCATCCCTTACCAAAATGCATATTAAGGGAAATACTATAGGTCTTTATAAATAGGCAACTCTGTAGATTGGTATGTGGTGGAAATTATCAGAAATTATTAATTTTTACCTTAATGTCTTCTCATTCTATATTAGTAATCAGTGAATGAACTAAAAGCTAGAAGACAATGGAAACAACCAACAACAGCTTTCAACGGGAATTTCTTCTCTTGGGATTTTCAGATCAACCTCAGCTTGAAAGGATCCTCTTTGTCATAATTTTGACTTTCTATGTCTTGAATCTTCTGGGAAACAGTGCTATCATATTAGTGTCCTACTTGGATCCCAAACTCCACACTCCCATGTACTTTTTTCTCAGCAATCTCTCCTGTGTGGACATTTGCTTCACTACCAGTGTTGCACCACAGTTGCTGGTTACCATGAATAAGAAAGACAAGTCTATGAGCTATGGTGGATGTGTGGCTCAGCTTTACGTGGCCATGGGCTTGGGTTCCTCTGAATGTATTCTCCTGGCAGTCATGGCTTATGACCGCTATGCTGCTGTCTGTAGACCACTACATTACACAACCATTATGCATCCTCAGCTTTGTGCATCCCTGGCCGGCATAGCATGGTTCAGTGGCCTTGTTACCTCCTTAATTCAGTGTTCCCTTACTGTTCAGCTACCTCTGTGTGGTCATCGCAAATTGGATCACATTTTCTGCGAAGTACCAGTGCTGATTAAACTAGCCTGTGTGGACACCACTTTCAATGAGGCTGAGCTCTTTGTGGCCAGTGTGGTCTTTCTAATTGTACCTGTGTCACTCATCCTAGTATCCTATGGTTTTATAACCCAAGCTGTGCTGAGGATCAAATCAGCTGCAGGTCGCAGGAAAGCCTTTGGGACTTGTTCTTCTCACCTGGTTGTGGTCATCATTTTCTATGGGACAATAATCTTTATGTACCTTCAGCCAGCAAAAAGTAGCTCCAAAAATCAGGGAAAGTTTGTCTCCCTTTTCTACACCATAGTCACCCCACTTTTAAATCCTATTATCTATACCCTGAGAAACAAAGATGTGAAAGGGGCCTTGAAGACACTGGTAATGGGTAATGCTTTGGGGTCAGAAAAGTTATAAGACTAATCTTAGAAGATTATATGCTAAATAAGATTGTCTTGTACAATATCACTAAGAATATAAGGGGCTAACTTACTTGAGTGCTGGTTCATATAATAAAACTCTGTTGTTGTTGGTTCCACTGAGTTGAGTACTATTCATGTTATTGTTGCCATGTGCCATTGAGTTGACTGTGACTCCTAGTGACCCTATGCACAATAGCTTTGAACCCTGCTGTATTCCGAGCCAATGGGACTCGGTGTGGGTGAGATTGGTCCAGGACGGGGCAAGTTTCACACCTATTATGCATAGGATTGTTATGAGTCAGAAGAGACCCGGCACATAACTACAATATGAGGGAAACCATGGCATCAGGATTAGAGGAAGACAAATGAGCAACCTGTGTTATTAGATGACACAACCTTGCTTGCAGAAACTGAAGAAGACTTGAGACATTTACAACAGAAGATCATAATCCCACAGATGGTAGCTTCGCCCCATTGGCTCCTCAGCCAAGCACATACACCAAATGTCTGAACCTGCGGTTCCTCTCGTACTGAGCAGGATTCTTACCGTAGTAACTGCGAAGGCAGAAGTACACAAGGCAGACCATAGGCTGATGGACACACAGGATGAAGCTCCCAGAGGAACCAAGAAAGAATGCTTTGAAAGGAAATGGTCAGGGATGCTGATGAAGGAAAGACAGAAACTCCAATTTCACTTCAAGTATGTTAATATCTACCGTTATCACATTATCATTTAATCCCCCTTGTGATCCCTGTGAAGCAGTATATTAAGTGTGGTGCTATTAACAAAAGGATCTGCATTTCAAATCCATCATCTTCTTTGAGTGAGAAAAATTGGCAATCTTTTTCTATCAGGATGTTTAAAAAATCCAAAGGGGGATTTTAATGAGTGTCTTTATATATACAACTTATAAACTATTATCAAACTGTTGATTTCTCAAATTTTCAATATAAGTTCATGGCCACATATTTTAGGAGCGTACATCTAGATTTTTATATTATTTTTGAGATATATGACACAATATATAGTCTCTCTTCAACTCTTAGAGATTCCATAAACAACACACCGGAACCCTGCCCTATCCTGTGCCATCTTCATCATCTCTGGCACTCTTGAGCCCATTGCTGCAGTCACTGTGTCAATCTATTTTGTCAGGAGTCTTCCTTTTTTTGCTAGTCCTCCATCTTTCCAGGCATGATATCTATTTTTAAGGAATAACCTCTCCTAGTTGCATGTCCAAATTAATAGAGATTAAACTTCCCCATTTTTGCCTCCAAGAAACAATCTAACTGCACTTTCCAAGTTATTGATTTGGTTTTTTTTTTAATCCATAGCATACCCAGTACTCTTCTACAACACCACAACTCAAGTACATCAACTTTATTCTGTCATCCTTGTTCACTGCCCAGCTTTCCCTAGTCAGTGATTGAAAACACCATGGCTTGAATAAGGTGTTCCTTAGTCTTCAAACTGATGTAGTTTCTCATCAGTATTTTGAAGAGGTTCCCCTGACAATCAACTTGCCCAACGTAATATACCTATTGATCACTTAACTGTTGGTACTAAGTATGTTGATTGTTGACTCAAGCAAGATGAAATCATTGACAACTTCAATCTTTTCTTCATCTATTATAGTGTTGCCTATTGACCCAGTGGTAAGCACTGTTATTGTCTTGATGTTGAAAATGCAACCATAGCAGAGTCTGTAGTCCTTGATCTTCTGCAACAAGTATTTCAAGTCCTCCTCACTTTCAACAATCAAAGTTGTATCATCTGCCTAATGCAAGTTGTTGATAAGCCTTCCTCTGATCCTGATGTCATGTTCCTGTTCATAGAATCCAGCTTCATGAATTATTTGCTCAGCAAATACATGGAATACGTATGGAGAAAGGTTACATCCCTGACACACACCCTTCCTGATTTTATACCATGCAGTGACTCAGACAACAACTTCTTTATCTGTGCATAGATTTTGCACGAAGACGATTAAGTGTTCTAGAATTCTCATTCTTAATGCTAGCTATAGTTCATTATGATCCACAAAATCAATTGCTTTGTACTCACTCAACTAGACAGCACTTAACAATAGTCTCTCTTGTTACTAGATAAAAGTCCAATACAAAGACTTTTGTATTAAAATGTGTACCCCACAGTTTATAAACATTACATTTATTTTGAAGGGTTGGGGTTTTTTGTTGGTTTGGGTTTTTGCTTTTTTTTTTTTTCAGTCAGAGCAGATTTCCTATTTTGGATATTGCAGTAAGAATATTCAGGATTCAGATTAAAAAAGCTACCTGAAGCATAGTGTACACTGAATCCATGACTAAAATAATAATTAAATATCACCGGTACTGTGACTGTAAACCAAAGAGCACATGCTTTTTGTGCCTGTTAAAAATGACTCAAGACTTGGATAGGAATGAGGTTTCATTCGGAAAAGGAACAGTGATCACAGTGACATAGTACTAGCAGAGGTTGATGTATTGTTTGAAAAGGAAATACTCTGAAGATGAAAAGACATGGAGTAAATGAGGAAAGTGTGATAAGCTAACTGGATATTGTTGAAAAATACATCTGCAACTTTAGTGAAACACCTCGTTGCCTAACAAGCAGAACTTCTTGCAATTCTTCCTCCTTACTGTTGGTTTGGGGTTTTTTTAATGTTTTGTAAAATGCTTACATTCCAACAACTGCTTGAAAGAGAAACATCTTCTGAATCCTCAGTGTCACAAGTGAAACAAACCCTTTCTCTTCTATGTCAAGGAGACATCTTGTTTTTTTTGTTGAGGTCCCTGTTGAGTCACCTGTGACTCATAGAGACCCTACGTTACAACAGCCCTAAACCCTGCTCTATCCTGTGCCAATCTTATTGTCTCTGATACATCTACCCTCAGTACCCCAGTCACTGACTCACTCCATCTCATCGAGGGTCTTCCTCTCTTACACTGTCCCTCTGCTCTCCCAAGCATAATGTCCCTCTCTAAGAACTGGTGCTACCTTGCAACATGCCCAAAGTAGGCCAGACCAAGTTTCAGAATCCTTGCCTTCAAGGAGCAACCAAATTTCACCCTCAGTAGGATGAACCTATTTGTTCTTTTAGCAGTCCATGGTATATTCAATACTCTTATCCAGCACCACAACTCCAATGCATATATTCCCCTTCTATCATCTCTAGCCATTGCTCAGCTTTCTGATTCATAATAAGTAATAAGATTATGGCCTGGATTAGGTGCACCTTAGTCTCCAGAAAGACAACATTGCTCTGCAGTACTTTGGAGAGGTCTCTGACACCAGACTTTCCCAATGCAATTTGTCTTTTAATTTTGACCTATTTATAAGAATTGCACCATTTAGAAATACCCATCACATCCTCACCTTTCTTTTTATTTGCTTGAAAATTACACAGTTAGTTAGGATGTGGTTTAATAATTTTTTTATAATTCATTTCATGGCATTGATAAAAATTTTCACAAAGTTTTAGCTTTGTAATTTTTTCCATTACATTTGCTCCATTTGTTTTTATTCCATTTTTCTAACTTCCCTTTTCCTAACTGTCCATTTGATCTAATATAGTCGAGAGCTTAAGGGTCACATTACTCATGACTGAATCGTGGTTGCCAGCTCAGTGATCCAAAATCTCTGTAAATGTTTATTAAAAGTATGAAAGGGGGAAAAAAGGTTTTTTTTGGGACTAAGTCTCATAGATTTCTTTATTCCTGGTCAGCCCAGTATATCTAATTGGTTGCTTGGGTTTTTTCCCCCCAGGAATTTAACTTTGTTACCCATTTTTTATCCCATTCTTCCTAGGATTTTCTATTGTGCACCTAGTCAAAACAGTTGGTGATGGTTATCAGACACACTCCAGTACTTCTGGTCTTGGGTTGGACAAGGCTATGGTTCGTTTCAGGCACCATTCCTGTTGATAAATTTCTTTGACCTTTTGGTTTCCTTCATTCTCTTTTGTAACAGAGGAGTAGGAGCTAATAACTGTCTACTAGTACTAGTTACCAATGCTTTTTCACTTTTTTTTTTTTGCTTTTTCGTTTTTAGACACACATGAAGGATATCAGACTTTTGTCATATTGAAGTCAGACATGATCATCTGACTTGCTTGTCACATGAGAGAAAGTCCTGTTTGTAATTGTAGAAATAAGAATTGAATAATTTGAAACTGGTTTTCCAACCTTATTTTCTGTCATAAAGACCCATATAGGAACGGAGACTCCATAAGAACAAAGCAGCTTGGGACCCTTACCGGCAAGGAGAAAATTGCAACCTCAGAGTCACATGAAGGCACCCTGGATTTACTATGTGCAAGAAACAAGCCTGCCTATTGTGACATAGTGCTCATGAATGCAGTAATTTCTTAATGCCTTGCTACTTATCTTGATTAATATATTAATTACAACTTTACCAGAATATCACACGAAAAAAGGTCTGGTGGGTAATGAGATGTGCTATTAATCCAAAGGCATACAAACTACTTCATGGGAGGAAGATGAGCAGTCTTCTGCATGATTTACAGCCTCTGAAAACACAATTCAGGGTCAGTTTTGAGTTGGTTCCAACACAACAGTACATAATAACAACAACAACAGAAAAATATTTTAGCAACAACACTAAGCCAACTGATTTAAATACAGTTCTCCATCAATGTCATTTTGAGGTATCTTCTTTAAGTAACTCATGATAAAAACACATGACAACCATCTCAAAGACTCTAAATCAAATAAAAATATAAATATTGCTGCTGTTGTTATGTGTCATTAATTCTTCACAACTCATAGCATCCTTATGAATAATAGCTGGAAACCTTGACCTCACCTGCATCATCCTTGCAATTTCTTGTCATGCTTAAGTGTATTATTGCAGACACACCATTGCTCTTGAGTACTTTAGAGAGGTCCCTAACAGACTCTCCCATCACAAAATGCCTTTTAATTTCCTGGCTTCTGGTGCCAAGAGTGTTGATTGTGGAGCCAAGCAAACTAAAGCTGTGAACAATCTCAATCTCTTCACCATCCATCCTGATGCTGCCAATTGCTCCTGTGGTGAGAATCTTTGTCTTCTTGATATTGAGCCTCAATTCATATTGAGGGTTGCAGTCCCTGACCCTCAGCAGTAAGTGCTTCAGGTCCTCCTCAGTTTCAGCAAGCAGGGTTGTGTCATCTGCACAACGCAGATTGTTGATAGATCTTCCACCAATCCTAATGCCACATTTCTCCTCATAGAGCCCAGCCTCCTGCATGATCTGTTCTGCATACAGGTTGAAAAGGTATGGATACAGGCCTAATCCCTTCCCCATTTTGAACCATGCAGTGTTTCCTGAATGCTCTGTTCTGACGATGCTTTTGAGCTTTGATGTTGGAGAAGAGTGCTGAGGGTACCATGAACTGCTAAGAAAACAAACAGATTCATCCTGGGGAGTGTTAAACCGGGCTGCTCCTTGGAGGCAAGGATTCTGAGGCTCCATCTGACATACTTTGGACATGTTGTAAGGAAGGACCGGTCCTTGGAGAAGGACATCATGCTTGGGAGGGTGGAGGGCAGGCACAGTAGGGGAAGGCCCTCTGGGAGGTGGATTGATTCGGTGACTGGGGCAATCGGGATGAGTGTGTAGTAGACAATGAGATTGGCACAGGACAGAGCAGAGTTTAAAGCTGTTGTACATAGGGTCACTATGAGTCGCAAGCGCCTTGATGGCACATAACAACATGTCAATCCATCTTGTCTTCGTCTTTGTTTACTGATTTTTTTTCTTTTTCACTGATATTTTAAAGCAGAGTATGGATATCTTTTATAATTTCTTGCAAGTGTGTAGCATCTTTTTTATTTCTTTCACAAAGTGACTAAAAAGCAGGTTCTCAAAATGTAGTAGCATTATTGCTGTTATGAGCCTTTCAGTCAAGAACTCAAAAATCACAAATCACTGATTCGACTTCTTTCGCTGATCACCCATCTTTCCAAGCATGATGCACAATGTATTAAAGCCTAATGGAAATTTCCAATTTGATTTTGCTTTGAAATTGCTGTGCTAAATTACTAGAAATACACTAAAAAAAACTTAGTTTTGATTTAAGTAAAGTGTATTTCTATTCTAAAATAATAAGGGAAATACATAGAGTACATATCAGATACTAGCATTTTCTAAAATTTATTTTTTTTAAATTAGAGTATACTTTATTGCATAGATATAAAAATAAAGTTGATGGACCCTGTAATAAAATTATAAACTACAGATTAATTATTTAGGCTCAAGCCATGATCATTTCAATCACTTGCTATGCATCTGAGAGCTGCACAATGAATAAAAGTTACAGAAGAAGAATTGATGTCATTGCATTATGGCATTGGGGAAGAGTCCTGAATATCCCATGAACTTCCAAAAGAACAAATAGACATGTCTTGGGAAAAGTACAGCCAGAGTGCTCCTTAGAAGTGAGGTTGGAGAAACTTACTGTCATAAAATTTGAGCATATATTTAGGAAAGGCTAATTCCTTGGAAAGGGGGAAGGTCAGCAAAAGAAAGGAAGATTTTCAACCTGATGCATTGACACAGTAACTGGTCCAGGGGTGTCGTAGAGGAAGAGGATGTTATTCATATAGTGGCTGAGAGTTATACTCAACTCAATGGCATCTAATAACAGCAAAAGAAGCAATAGATTAAATTACAAATGACATATAGAGACCACTTTGTCTTAAGGAACAAACCAGGCATGCTTCTTCTGGATTCACATATATTAGAAGCAGCTCACTGCAGCCACTTTATCTTCTGAAATACCCCAAATGACCCCTAACATATACCCACACATACATCCGTATATAAAACACAACAATAATTTATTTGCTCCCACGTATTATTCTCATAGTCAAATAATAAAGGAAAGATTTGCATACACAGGAAGTTCATGGAGAGATGAATACTCAGTTGCTTGCTACTTCTTAAAGGTTCAACTATTGTTTTTGTTGTTAAAAATAATATTAGTTTTTCCAAATAAATTACATAACAAATATCTAACTTTGTCATGGTTGTTACTACATGCTATCAAGTAGATTACTCATGACAACCTATAGAATAGATCTGAATCTTTTCCTATCCAACCCTATTCTCATGATCTCTAACATGCTCAAGTCCATTGTTACTATTACTGTATCAGTTCATCTCACTATAGACCTTCCCCTCTTTCTCTTTTCCTTCAATTTCCCCAGTATGACGTCTTGTTCAAATATACTCTTAAGCACTGACTACATGTCAGATGGTATTAATTTAAAAATATCCTTAATAAGAAGACATAAATAATTATAATAAAAAAGAATAAGATAACAATTATGTCTTTTGGACTCAACCCACTCTTTTAAAAGAAATATTTCATAGGTAATTTCTCCTTATATTCTTGAAAAGAACATAAGAAGAAATAGTAATTTTAAACTTATTTTTAGTCCAAAAGGTTATCTAATTTCTTCTTTGCCTCATGCGCTTCTTCAACAATCTTTGTAGAGCTTCTGTTACCTCTTTGTTCCTTAAGGTATAGATAAGAGGGTTCAACAAAGGTGTAAGTACAGTGTAGAAAAAGGTTATGAATTTTCCATGTTCAGAAGCAAAGTTGTTTTTAGGATCTGTGTAAACCATTGCCACAGTTCCATAAAACATAAAGACCACAAGAAGATGGGAAGAGCAAGTAGCAACGGCTTTTTGCCTCCCCTCTTCTGACTTGATTTTCCCCACAGCTTGAGCTATGTAGCCATAAGAAGTTAGAATCAACCCTACAGGCAGAATGGTAAGAAGAACAGCAGCAATGGTGATCTGTAACTCATTGAAGGAGGTGTCTCCACAAGCTAGGCGAATGAGGGCAGGTACCTCACAGAGAAAGTCATCTACTTGATGGTGAGAGCAGAAGGGCAGCTGAAGTGTAATTGTAGATTGGATCAGAGATTCCATGAGACCAGAGAGCCAGGCTATAAAGGCAAGTTTCCAACAGAGAGGAGGGTTCATGATGATGGTGTAGCGCAGTGGCTGGCAGACAGCAACATAGCGGTCAAAGGCCATCACCACCAGCAAAATGCATTCTGTGGCACCAAGGTAGACAAACACAAAGAGCTGGATGACACAACCTGTGTAAGTGATAGTCTTTTTAGGACCCCACAGATTTGACAACATTTGGGGCAATGTGGTAGTGGTAAAACAAAGCTCTAAGAAAGACAGATTGCTAAGAAAAAAGTACATTGGTGTGTAGAGACGAGGTTCTACACAAGAAAGCAGAATGATTATCAAGTTGCCGAAGATGATCATGACGTAGAAGAGTGACACAACCCAGAAGAGAACTTTTTCCAGCTGAGGCCATTGAGAGAAGCCTATAAGAATAAATTCTTCTGGGAAACTTGTGTTGGTTATTCCTTTTGCTTTTGGCATTGTTGTTATCATCTCCCCTCAAGTCATTTATGACTCATAACATCCTTAAGACTATGTCTTGCCTTATCCTGAGCCAGTCTCCCTGTCACCAACATACCTAACCCCATTGCCACAATCATTGTTAAATCCATTTCCTCCATGGCTTTCTTCTCTTGTTCTGACACCATTAGAATTAAGATATATTTGTGAAAACTTAGCAAACTCAGTATGGAGAAAGACTCTTCCTGTTTATTTACAGAAGCCAAACTTTATAAATTGACATATTATTAAGACAGACTAGTGGCCATTTTTCTTTACATTTAACAAATAGCAGCATAAGTCTATATTGTAACATTAAAGGGTTATGTGGAAGATACTATCTCTTTAAAACAACCTTGAAAATTTGTAATAGAATATCTCTAATGAATGACTTCTCAATTTACAACATTGATATGTTCCAACAAGATTTTCCTTTCAACCCTGTAGCATTTGGTGCTTTAAAATAAATGAAGTGAAATGTTAAACATTCAACTTTACCTTTCAAGACATAATTCACCAAAATAAATGGGTTTTATTTGGTAATGTTAATAATGAAATGTAAAATGGAGATTTTCCGACAAACAAATCTCTCAGCTCACATTAGGCAGCATCACAGACTGTACAGTGACGAAGAAGTCTTTCTTCAGGTATCTGCAGAAGCACCTACATGTAGAAAACACACTAGTTTTTAAATGGAGCAAATGTGCTTTAGGTTTTTAGTAAACAACTTAAAACTTCCAAATCACTGCTATTATTTACAGATGTTAATACTAATTTCCATCCAAGAGTGTTCCGAAGAGTGATGATATGGTGGTGCTGTGCACCTTTATGTTGACTATGATGACTATAGACCCTATAATTTCCCATCTCAAAGTATTTGCGAGGGTATAATTTTTATGGGAGCAAATGGTCAGATATTTTCTTCCATTGAGTACCAGACGGGTGTGAACACTATCTCTTGTTATTGTGAAAGTATTTAAACACTGTGCCTTTTGTGTATTGAAATAATGTACTAAACTGATAGTTTAGACTGACAGTTTTAAACTGACAGTTGGTAGAGTTTTTACTTAGAGTGACCCTCCACTCGTTTTCTGAGGATGTAAACTTTTATGAGACTAAACAACATACTAATATTTGCTAACGTTTAGCTCACAACACTAGACACTAAAAAATCTAAAAGGACAGAAAGTGTGAAAATTTTATTTAATTTTTATCCTTTTTTTATTTAATATTATTATCTTCAATGATCAATAAGGAATATAATTTTTTTCATCCAAGAGTTACTGTTAAATATTAGAAATTACTAAAACTGACAAAAAGATAACATTTGTGATTATTCTAACACTTTGACTCATTGACGTGCAAAATATAACAAAAATAATTACAGAAACATTAGACATTCATTTAAAGAACATTGTCATGGAATATTTCTTTTCTGATTTCCACAAATGGTCTAGTAATTCACAAGAAATTAACAATTTTTGAGGTATATGCAATACATGTTATTCTTTGAAAGAAAACTGAGTCACAAGTTGTGAAACCTAGATTCTGAAAGTGGACAAAAATATACACCTTTATGGAATTCTATGATGGCCACCCCTATTCAGCATGAATTTCATAGAGAGTAATAATGGAAGATTTGAAAAATAGAGTAAGACTGTTTCACAAAGAGCAATTGGTGAAATGCTTTTTTCTTGCTGAGAAAAAGAGTGTCAGTCCCAGGAAGGTTGACTTGAGGAGTGGGGCCTGGGGAGTGGTTGCTTTTACAGACAGGGCATCATTTTCTCAGCTGAACTCAGCATACTACATAAATTGTTATAATTGTTCCTCTAAACCTATTGGAAGATCTATCAACAATCTGCGTTATGCAGATGACACAACCCTGCTTGCTGAAACTGAGGAGGACCTGAAGTGCTTGCTCCAGAGGGTCAAGGACTGCAGCCTACAATATGGATTGAGGCTCAATGTCAAGAAGACAAAGATTCTCACTACTGGACCAACTGGCAGCATCAGGATGAATGGTGAAGAGATTGAGATTGTTCACAGCTTTAGTTTGCTTGGCTCCACAGTTAACACTCTCGGCACCAATAGCCAGGAAATTAGAAGACGTATTGCCATGGGAAAGTCTGCTGTTAGGAACCTCTCCAAAGTACTGAAGAACAATGGTGTCTCTTTGGAAACTAAGGTGTGTCTGATACAGGCTGTGGTCTTTGCTATCACTTGTTATGCATCAGAGAGTTGGACAATGACTAAGGAGGATAGAAGGAGAATTGATGCCTTTGAGCTGTGGTGCTGGAAAAGAGTATTGAAGGTACCATGGACTGCTAGGAAAACAAACAGATTCACCCTGGAAAGGGTTAAACTGGGCTGTTCCTTGGAGGCAAGGATTCTAAAGCTCTGTCTAACATATTTTGGACATGTTGCAAAGAGGGACAGGTCCTTGGAGAGGGACATCATGCTTGGTAGGGTGGAGAGAGCACAGAAGGGGAAGGCCCGCTTTGGGGTGGATTGATTCAATGACTGGGGTAATCAGGATGGGTGGGTCAGAAACGGTGCGATTAGCACAGGACAGAGCAGAATTTAGGGATGTTGTACATAGGTTTGCTATGAGTCACAAATGACTCGACGGTACATTACAAAAACAACAATTTATTTTTCTGAAAGACACACCCAATTAATGACAGAAACAACCGTATGTTTTCATTACACTGTTCCATGTCTTCAGTTCAGTTAATTTTGACAAAGAGTTTTATTTTGTATGCATAAATTCATGTGACTCAGAAAGCAATAGTATCTGGTATTTGGGCAAGAATTTTCACTTTTTATTTTGTTGTTATATCCCATCAATTCACTTGTGACTCATAGTGACCCTATGTACAAGAACCCTAAATCCTGCTTTATCCTGTGCCAACCTCACTGTCTCCGACACACCTACTCCCCCTACTCCAAACACATCAAGGGTCTTCCTCTCCTGAGCCATCCTTCCACTCTACCAAACATGATTTCCCTCTCCAAGGGCCGGTCCCTCCTTGCAACATGTCCAAAGTATGTCAGGTGAAGCTTCAGAATCCTTGCCTGCAAGGAGCAGCCCAGCTTTACCCTCTCCAGGACAAACCTGTTTGATCTCTGATTCAACACTCTTCTCCAGCACCACAGTTCAAAGGCATCAATTCTCTATCATCCTTTTGCTTTAAAAATATCACGTTACTGATTGAAAATAGTTCTGCTATGCAAAAATATGTAGGATGCCACTTATATGAAATATCTAAAACTGACAAATACATAAAAACTGTCTGTATTAAAGGAAGTATAATGAGATTTTCTTTTAGATGCAAGGATGGTCTAACTTCTCATTTATTTCTGGCCATACAATGTCGTATCATATAATTTAGTTTTTCTGATGTTGTTGTTCCCTGATGTTCAACTGTAGATGTTCCACTTTATGATTTATTGTTAAAAATGCATAGAAAACTGAAGAATAGTACTTTACTGCAGGTAATATAGAAAATTGAAAAGGAAAAAAACCACACCAAAAATATGTAGTATTAAGCTTGTATCAGACCTAATTTAGGAGAAAGTTGGCTGAAGGTAAACCATTATAAGTCAAGATCTAACTACAGTGTACCTTTTGCATTCAAGTAGTCAGATTTCTTTCTGTCAAGAACCTATCATAGATAATGAGTAATATTTCATTCAATATCTGGCTACATATGTATACTTTATCTGCAGTAACATTGATAATCATCTATATTTCCTCTCTATAATTCAGTAAGTAAAAAAGTAAGTTCCCATGGAGAATTTAATTTTAATTATTTTCTCATTCATATATTTTTTATATTTACAAGTAATCTAAAAATTTTTTCAAACATCTATAATCTGATACTCTGTTTTCAGTTGGTCATCTGAATAATTAATAAAATATTGCTATACATAATAGACTTGTAGCTTTGCTTTCAACTGTGATTTGTGTAAATTTCTCTTAATATAGTTTATCTAGTTATATGATTTGGGGGTATCTTTTCCCTGTTTTAGAATTTCCAAGTTTCTTTATCATGCATAACATAGATTAGGTAACTCTTTATTTAAACACTTATTTTCATTTGAATTTTGTAACTTTGTTTTGGATATGCAAACTTTTAACCAGTATGGATTTTTGTTGGTTTTTATAGCTTTTATTGTTTTTTTTTTCAGTGTGAAAGTATAATAGAAAATTCATTCCTGTTTAGCTACTGAATTTTCAAAGCAATTCTGCTGAAAACTCTTTCTCAGTACAAAGAATTCAGATGTCTTATTGCTTATAATATATAAACAGGAGAGCTTTGCTAGAAAATAGCTACATATCAGTAAATAATCCAATACATAATTCTTTAGATCTTCCTATTTAGATGAGGGATTCTTAAGTTTTACTATGATGTTACGAGAAATAGAGATAAAATTCTACAACTATTCAGTCATAAAAGTTGTGAACATTTGTGTTTGTGTATACGTCTCTTTGAGTAAGCATTTTAACGTCCAAATTCTATAACCAACTTTCAATATCAGGTCCTTGAAACAAAACAGAACAATAATAATTTGTGCATCATCATTTAAATTGTGCATCAATACATTCCACAAATCTCAAAAGAATTCTCAAATCCAAGGAAATGCTGTACCTTCTGAATCGATGCATTTCTAATATTTCATTTATTTTTAGCGTTTTTACCTTAGAAATGGAAATGGCTAGCCTGGCTACGAATGCAGGTCGGTGGTAGAAGTGGAAAAACATAAACCTACTTCTCAGGGCTCACCTGCAGAGTGACAATTGTGTCTGTCTGGAATTCAAGGCCTTATCACAGGCTTTCCCACTTTGAGTGACTCTTCCATTTAATTCCTGATGTTGTATATATATGAGGAAATGGGAAAATGTGGATGACCGCTTTTATCCCATTGAGAGAGAAGCCATAGAGAACACAGAAGGTACTGGGCTCCTCAGGAGATCCCTGATGCCTTTTATC